CATTGGTACTTCTCACGATGTCATGGAAATAGAGAGTGACGAGGAGAATGAAATGGAAAATGAAAATACCCCAGGTGAAGGCGAACGCTCAAACGAAACAACCCCTTTGAAAAGTTTCAAGGACGTTCTGGACAGTGTCCAAAACATTTCTGCTTTTTTGATTCATAGAGGGGAGTTTAAGGTTGCTAATGAATTTAGTCTCCTTGGCGACAAAGTGGGGGAAGTTGTAATTCAAAGGAGAAGTACACAGAGCCGATTGGAACGATATTTTAAGGCAATGTGATAGCTGATGCAATCAATAGCTGATGTTCAGGTTTTTCCTTGAAGATAATTTTTGTTAGAGATGTAGATTACTGTACTTCAGTACAGTAGGAAACCAAAACAATGCATGTGTGGGCATTGCTGCAGCATACGATGACTGTTTTTTACGTACTAAGAAGAACTACTGTACACAAAGGGTACGTAACTCCTGTTCTGTTAAGTTCTGTTTGTAAATAAAGTTCTGACGCTCTTTACTTGCGACAACGGGTCTGAAAAAGGTACTGGAGTTAATAAAAATGAACACAAATGTGACCCCCTTCTGTAAATATGGTTTAAAATAAAAATTTTCTCGCACCCCGCTATTACGGACTCTCGCTATTACGGACACCAAATCGCGATCCCGAGGGTGTCCGCTATAACGGGAGTTGACTGTACTATAATTGTTAAACAAGCCTTTCGTACCTCGCTAGAACTTCACTACAATGGTAAAAATAGCTTTTACCATAATCTTATCAAAATATCTGAATATTTTAACCTGCCCGATTTTGATCCTAATAATTAAAGTGAAGCTAATATCAAACATTATATAAATACAATAAAACAAAAAATATTACATATTGGCAACATACAATCATTCTAAGACTACAATTTTACAGCATATTTAAACATGATTATAAAATTTCAAGTTATCTAGACTTAACCAGAAATTCAACCAAAAGGAAAGACTCAGTGAAAATTCGTATAAATAACAACAAACTCATGATTGAAACTGGAAAATATAATCAAACTCCCCACAACGATAGATTTTGCCCTGTTTGTAACTCTGGTATAATTGAAACGAATTTCATTTTCTCTTGCAGTGTCCAAAGTATTCAATCCCAAGGGAAAAATTCTACAATCAAATCCAACATAATTTTGTTGATTTTAATTAGCTATCGTGCACAGAATTAATAATTAAATTGATGAAATCACAGAATTTTTCTGTAAATTCACATTTGTTAAAATTTATTTCATTAGGTAATGATTTACGTATTGATAATTTGTTATCAAATCACTGACTGATGACACTTGATTGGCCATTTTAATCATTTTTGCATTGTATTATCATTAGTGTAAATTGTAACTTTATCTTAAAGCTTTTTCAATACTGTAAATATATAGTAATGAAAATAAAGCTTATGTTGTTGTTGCATTACATTTAATCGAAAAAGCCCGCCCTCAAATCACCTTGGCATCTTTAAGTAGCAAAATCAATAAGCACCGCAGCGCTCTTTCGAAATTTCGATCCGATTTTTTTACAATTTGGTTTGGGCGAACTTTACTTATTGAAGTTTAATACGCAGCCTTGCAGACTCAATTAATGGGAGTACCAAGTACGTACTCTACGATAAATGAAATTTAAAGTTGTTTTGGGAGACACTTTATTATCACTTTCATCACACTTTTTTAAATACCATACTGCTAAGAAGAAATGAAAGTTCAAACCTTGTTTTGTTTCGAACTTTCATTTCTTCTAAAGACTGGTTTTAAACTTATACCAATATGCTTCAAGCTTACATCAGTAATGGTAATCAACATAATAAAAGGTCTGATTAGCAAAAATTAATAAGCGCTGCTATATTGCGGGAAATTGGGGCACTCTCGCTTGAATGGGTTGAATGAAGGAGAAAAATATGTTTATTCGAAAGAGTGCCGAGGCGTTTATTTATTTTTCTTCTTCTCCTGTGCGACTCTTACTTGAGGTCGGCGCCCTTTCGATTAAATGCAGTAAAACATTGAATTTTTCGAAAGAGCGCCGCGGTGCTAATTGCTTTTCGATTTTAAGATGCTAAGGAGAATTCGGGTGGCGCACTTTTGATTAAGTGCGTTTTTTCCAGCTGTGTTGTGCCAGAAAGTGTCGGGTTTGTGTCATGGAGTGTGTGTGCGTGTGTAATTTTGGGCGCTGGTAGCCGGGGAAGGGGGTTGTGGGGATGCATCAAAGGGCTATTGGTGAAAAACTCCAGGACTGTTCCCTGGAGAGAGACGTATCTTGGAAAAAAATATAAATGAATGATTGAGACAGAGGAAAACAGAACAAAACGTTTTGTTTTGAGCAATGCGTTTATTCTATTTAATTTCCACAAACATTTGTCCACGCAAGAATTAAGCCTTCACTTAACCTACAGTTTCTATTAGCATTGTAAAGGCACTGATCATTGACTATGAAGTGGACAATATTTTTTACATTGCATTTGTATACTCATTGAACCAGGATGTAGCCCATCGCTTTAATGTTTTTGTCACCATTGTCTGCACCCCAGGCTACCCCGTTTCCACAGGTGTTGTTATCATAATGACGATCAAAAGAAGTACCAAACCCAATGAATGAGTCAGGGGTATAACAGTTGTTTTCTTGGTTACCTATGATACCTATTCTTGCTTTCACAATGCTAGTGTATCGCCGCCCGGGACAATTGAACCCTTCGTGGTTACAATTTCTCTGTAGCGATGCCTGTTGGCCAATCAGCTTCTTCCAGGTGTCACGACCCAGTGACGTCGAACGGTAGTTTCCGTCAGCGATCAGGGAGTGTAAGGAGTTGGCTTGTCTGTTGATGACGATCGAATTAACTTGGTGGTCAATCTTCATAGCGAGGCAGATCTTAGTGAATGGTGTTCTCCAGTACGTGGGTAATTTTGTTTCTTGATTATCAAGCAGGGTCTTTCCCGCAGAGGGTTTATAGTTCTTCCTGTTGGTCCACAATTTTGAATCGTAATGAAAGGTATTCTAAACAGATAAAGAATGATAGATCGTCAATTAACAAACTGTTTTTTACATGACATCACAGCAGTCACATTCTGCTCCAAAAGTTTGTAAGACTATCCAGTTTGGCATTCTGGGCCCTGGGGGTCAACTACATCCAACCTCCTCCCCCTCCCCAAGTAGTTTTGAGAATATCTAGGCGAAGACAATCAAACGCCTGGTAAGAATTAAAATAATGTAATAAATACCCCAGCCAGGTAAATGACGTGACATGGCGAGATTCCTCTAAACATTTCGCTGAGATGATGGTCAATCGCCGCCATCTCGGTGTACTAGTGAGCCAGTGTGAAGAGGCTACATTGTATGACTGGCCGTTTTACGACCCGTCAAGATGAAACGAATCCTGTGGTCTGTGCGAGAAACAATTTCCTTTTGGCCATGTAATAAATCCTTGATTTACCAAATCTTCGGTCAAGAGGAATGGATACTGGGCCGGTTCTTTTTCGCGTTTTTATGGACCGCAACTCGGTCTCGGTACATAAAAAACGCAAATAAAAAGGAACTCAGCCGAAATCGAGCCATATTAGCCTCATGGTTTATCAGTAAAGCCCTATTCTTGTAAGAAATCTTAGCGGTAACAATTTTGCGAGCGGCACACAAGATTCTCCTCACGGGCTATCTGAGATTACCCACTTTTGCGCAACATTAGTATGGTAGGAAATATGCCAAAAAGGGTAAAAATTAAATAAAATCAATTTCTGTACAAAAATTCATTGCTCCTTCATTGTAAAACTAACAATTCATCTGAAACTATCAACATTTCAGAAAATAAACGTTTTGTTCGTGCGCTATTAAAAAAACGTGCGCCAAGGATTGTACTGGATTGAAATCACGCCGTTTGCCCCATTCATACCAAAGCTTAAAATTTACCTAACAGCTAATTTTAAACATGAGCCGGAATGGTTTACACAACAGACTCCCATACCGTGCAGTCCAGTATGGATTAGCAATTTCCAAATATGATATTTTACCTGTACCCCCAGCCAAAAGCTGACGGTATGTTCGCTTCCTTTCAGCTAATTGTTTAAAAGCTGTTTAGTTACTTTCCTTAAACCAGGTCAGCTGTTCGCTTATATCCAGGATTGCACGCAATCTGTCGCAAAACTGATTTGCTAGCAATTCTCGGTCGCAATTTTAGCAAAAAATAGTTTAAAGGAAACTGCTCGAGGTTGATCGATGGGTCATTTAACAATTATTCCACGAGTGCGCGTTGGATATGAAATGGTAGATTAGCCAAAGAGGCGCGTAGCGCCGAGATGGCTATAATCATCTCATATCCAGCAAGGGCGAGTAGAATAATTGTTTCATCAAAAACGCCCACAAAACAGTATCGAGAATTCTCCCCAACTTTATTTGTAAAAACAACCGATTTTCAGCTTGTTTTTAATTTTGAGCAGACGCGTACTCTTACCATATTTGGAGAGCATGGTATAATGGCTCATGTACNGTCGCAAAACTGATTTGCTAGCAATTCTCGGTCGCAATTTTAGCAAAAAATAGTTTAAAGGAAACTGCTCGAGGTTGATCGATGGGTCATTTAACAATTATTCCACGAGTGCGCGTTGGATATGAAATGGTAGATTAGCCAAAGAGGCGCGTAGCGCCGAGATGGCTATAATCATCTCATATCCAGCAAGGGCGAGTAGAATAATTGTTTCATCAAAAACGCCCACAAAACAGTATCGAGAATTCTCCCCAACTTTATTTGTAAAAACAACCGATTTTCAGCTTGTTTTTAATTTTGAGCAGACGCGTACTCTTACCATATTTGGAGAGCATGGTATAATGGCTCATGTACCATGATGGCTAAGCCAATCAGAGCACTAGAATTGCATTATCCAATGAGTCAGTTTTTAATAATAGGCAATATACCATAGAATCGATCATGCATATTCAGTCCTACATCTTCCAAATATGGTATTAAAACGGCGGTTGGTTATGAAGAATTAGTCGAGGGATTGGAGCCAATGAATACTACTAGTAACAGTTGACACAGCAGCTGCCTCCGTTTGAATATATTGTCGGTCAATAGTATTCTTGCTCGTTGTGTAGCTCTTTGAAATATACCGATTCATAATGAAGATTTTCACACATATTCCATACGATAGGTGAGATAAATACAGGAAACGCAAGGTTCCATGCACAGTTTCAATTCGATTTACACAGCTTTGATCAAAACATTCTCAGTTTCGAGAATAGTTTATTCTAAACCATACGAAAAGATTTAATTAGAAGTTGAATTTTTCGCTATTTCTCTTTCACTTTTTACATTCCGTTCATTTTATTTGCCGGAAAGTAAGCCTTAGAAATTAAAAGGACGTTTGATCAATTAACGCTCGCGCATTCTAGTCTTATTTTAAATTTTATAGCGGAAGGACATGATCTGTGAGCAGGGAATAAGTCAGCACAGAATTTGATTGTCAGCGAATTTCTGTAATCGTCCATCGTTCTGCTAGTGATAAGCTAGCCGTTGTTCACTCGTCTTGCTTGTTTGGGGCTGAGTCTTATTCCGGTCAAAGAGAGAGAAAGAGTGTCTGGCAAGGTTTCCAATCAAAAAATTGTGAACTCGTGTCTGGCAAACTCTCCATATATGTACACAGTTATACGCACCTTAGAACTTCATCTGCGCTTAACGAGTGTCTTTTGGTCCATAACACGTCATAACTTTCAAAACAACTGCTCCACAGAATGTCACTGATAACACGTAACGCAAAAGAGTATCGAAGTATGACTGCACAATAAATGTCACAAAATCTACCTAACCGGTCCCCTCGAGATTTTCTGTCTTTACGTCATCCTAACCATTTCGTACTTGCGGGCGCAAACAATAGTCATCATTACCTACCGATTCCTCGCGGCCCCTCTTCAAGCAAATCGAGATTTTTTTTTCATACTGACTGTATATTCTAACTGTAAGTACTTTCCTTAATATACGCGCGAGTTACTAGAGTGCCTCCTCGGGATTTCGCCTTCTGGACGAAATCCCTGCGGGGGCAAAAATGTTGCATCGCTGCTGCTACCTTTTCGCCATCGGTCTTCATGAGGAGCGTCCATCCACCTCCTCCGCTAGCCTGCGAGCAAGCTCTCCTATTTGGGCGAGTGAAGCGAGTCTCGCGAGAACGCGCGAGCGAGCGGCGAAGCCGCGAGGGGCCGGCGAAAGGAGAGCTTGCAACCATCCCTTACAAATTTTCATTTGTACTTCGCCCAGACAAAGGGAAATACCATTGGCTGAAAAATGACGTTCCGGAAATCAAAGTTGATTGATAACAGGCTAAGCTGGCACCCGCTTCGTCTGTGTGTCAAATTTGGTTCTCAGGGGGATCAGATTGGTACCGAGAACTTGTTTCAGCCCTCAAAGCAGACGGGCTCGTTTGATGTAATTTTCGTAAAGAGAATATTGCGAGCCGAGGATAAGTCGGATCCAGTTTGTAGTTCTTGTGGAAGGAAAATGAAAACCCTTCATCACTGAGTTGTATTCGTTTGTGTCAAGCACCTTGTTTAGTTCTGAAAACCGGGAGAGTGAAAGTGAAGAGTGATTCAAGCGCTGTTTTCCAACATCGGTTTCTTCGCCCGGTTGAATTCTACTGGGTAGAAAAATTCAGACACATGTACTTGACAGTGTAACTGTGTAGCGTGACCGTAAAGAAGGAAAAGAGAAAGAGTTGGAAGCAACTGGAGTAAAACTTAAGAGAACCAAGTGCAGGAAAACGCTATTCTCCAGTTCCAGACGGACAAATATATGATGTTTTTGTTGGTGATTTCGATGGGGAGTAGTCTTCTACACTGCAGTAGGGATGACTTTTCAAAAGTAAACGAAACGAGAATCAAATTAGCGAGTTCTTATCCGAGCGGACACGTTGAAGTTCGATGTCCCCGTGGAAAGAAGACATATAAAAACATTGCTTTGATGCTGTTGCGAAAGCGATTTATAAATAAATAAATAATTCTACGCGTCCTCGCCTGTCGGTTGTCACTTTTCTAATCTGCGGCACGTTTGCGGTGACAGTTTTCACGCTTTGCGGAGTCCCGGGGTTTCCGGGGTGGAAATGAAAATTTATGAGAGATGGTTGCAAGCTCTCCTTTCCTCGGCCCCCTCGCTCGCGCGTTCTCGCGAGGCTCACTTCGCTTACCCAAATAGGAGAGCTTGCTCGCAGGCTACCTCCTCCGCATGCTCCAAGCTCAGCAGCTTCCATATGACAGTACACAGGAATTCGTTTTGACTCCACATCCAGGAAGTAGGCTTTGTTTTCACGCTTCCTAGTAAACAGATATTTATATAATGATATATTTTTGGGGCACTGCATGAAATCAAGCAAGATTTGTTTTCTCTGCATGTTTTAGTAAGGGACCGTCCGTCATATTCAATCAGATGCAATAAACGATTGCATTTAGAGACATAAAAAGAAAAAAGATAAACAAGAATATGACAATCTTTCCCACGTTGCGGACAATAAAACTGATATTTGGTACGGAGCAATGTCGACCTTACAACAAAGAAAAACTTAATGAAAAATAGTCCAATTTCCAATTAAAAATTACCGCTGAATACAAACATTAACGGCACATTTATACAGGGTTAGCCTCGACTTAAAGTAAAATATTCAGAAATTCCGGCAAGTAAGTGTTTAAAATTTGAATATACACAATAGATAGAGTAATAAACAGGTCTTTTTCTCGTTGGAATTTTATGAATATATTACTTCAGATGGAGGCTAAGCCTGTGAAAAATGCGTCTTCACTTCTTTAATTTAGCGGTCATAGCGAACTCGAAACTGGACCATTGATATACCTCGACGGACGCACGGTTACAAAAGTAGCACCAGCCGAATGCAGCGAAGGTTGTTTGAATCGGGAGGTGCCGCCTAAAAAAGAATTATATGTATACTGATGACGTAAAATCTGTCCGGAATCCGGTTAGGGACTTTGCAATAATTATCAGGAGGGGGGGCTGAAAAACTAGAGTTATCTAGCAAAAACTTAGACAGTAACCCCCCTCCAAAACAAAAAAAATTAGTTCTAACCCCCCTTCTGTTATGTTAAAAATAACGTCGCACCCCCCCCTCCCACCACACTAGTAAACTCAAAACTGGACAGAGCTGCCATCACAGCTTCAATAATGACAAACGTTATTATGTAACATCTAGTATCGAGAAGGATGTTGATCGCTTGATTGAAGATTTAGACAAAGCATTTGCTAAGTACAGGGGTGCTTACAACTTTGCCTCAAAATCTAAAACTTCTGAAGCCAGAAAGAGAAAAGAGCAGAAAAAAATTCAAAGAACAGGAGATTGAACGCTTCAAATAACAGACGAAAAAGAGCTTGCATTATATTTATAATTTAGATCCTTGGGAGGAGAGCCTGTTGAACTTTGTTATGAGCAACATATATATGGAATTCAGCAAATCGATTCAGTCGATGAAGAAACATTACTTTTATTCACATCAAAAACCGACAAGGCTTGTCTACGAGATCTGTTTGATTCCCATTGTTTTATGGGGGAAGCTGAAAAACAAGTTCATGATTTTCGCTTTACATAGGATCAGCTCAATTAATTAGAAGACGGGTTAAAATTGATCAGTTGTGAATTTGCTTTTCATTTTGATGGAATATTTTCAATAATCGTTTAACAGCTGTTCGTGTTGATATTTGTTACAGTCTATCATGATGCCTGTATTGAGAATCTTTTATTGCTTTTAATTTTATTTACATTTCGAATAAAACTTAAGGCCCCCCCTCCGTCAAATGAGTGATTTTACTTTGAACCCCCCCTATCTTGGCAGCAAGGCCACAAAGGTCAAATGTAAACGCGAAGAATCTCTAACAAAACAGTCAATATTTGTGGAATATAGTTTTCTCTAGAAGAAGCATTTGAGTTTTGCTGGTGCTCGTTGGCAGGTGAACACAACACTTTACCAGAATCTACCAGAAGACAAGCAAAATTGGACAAATCTATATTTGGAACCCCATGACTACCGGATTTATTATGTAAACATTGACTTGCGTCATCAGTATGGAATTTCTGCCGCTGAGTCGCAGACGTTCCTCCGCGCGAAAAGTTCCCAGCGGCGAAGAGCGAGGAGAAACGGATGTTTTCGCAGGCTAAACATTGCGTAACACTCTCATAAAACGTGACATTTCATGTCTGTCGGCGTAGAACGTGTACGAAGAATTTGACATATACTGTACTCACAAGGTCTTATCATAAATTTTCTTGCAACTTGACTCTATCCTACCTGTAAAAAAAATCATTGACAATGCGTCATTCCGTCATTCATTCTTTCATGAAGGACAGTGCGCATGGCCTTCGAGCGAGTACGTCGCGCTATTTTGCGCTCTTCAAGTAGTTAGTTCTGATCTCTTTAATTCAATCTCTACCAATCAAAATTTGCCTGCCGCTCGTGATTTACAAGCTTTTCTCGTGTTCTCCCAACATCCCAAGTGGGTTATCACGCCGGTAAACCCATTGAAAATGTGGTCTATTGCTTAAGTACATTTTAATATGTTCAGGTACACGTTCGGAATACCCTTACCCTGCGAGCAGTGGTTTCTCCTGGCCGGACGCAATACGCTTCGATGGGAAAGAAACCACTGCGAGCAACCGTTTGCTTTCCCATCGAGCATGCGCGTCCACGTGATGACTACGAATATCCAACGACAAGACAGCAACGAGAACTTCAACAAAACAATAGGTTTAAGCAACAAAACAACAACTTTCCACGTGCATCTTTGCACGACTACGACGTGAAGATGCCTAATTTTGCGTTTTATGGATAACTTAAACAAGCAACGACGAAATTTATTCTTCTTTTCGCTCTTCAACTTCGATATGGTCCCTTGGAATTCAACTCCATTTGGGTTCGCCTACATTTGACAAAGTATGTAGATAGGAATAAATAATCCAAAGAAATACTGAATATCCACAGCAGGCTCGCGTTAAGACAGCAATTGTAAGCGTAAGCAAATGCGCGAGAGCCTAAACCTGCTTTCAAACAGGATTTACATGTTTAAAGTTAATATATTCGTCCATAGCGCTGGACGGCGGCTCGATCAAAGAAGCAGACCGATGCTCGCAGTGGTTTCTCTCCCTTCGTAGCGTAGCGTCCGGCTTGGAGAAACCACTGCTTGCAGGGTAGAATACCCTTCCCTGTAAGTACACCTAAAGGATCCTTTGGTGTTACGGCAAAATAAACTGGTGGCGTTACAGTTGTGTTTTACTGTCTCACACTCGTTTCTGTCTGCAAATTAAGAGTTAATGTTGAATTATCAAACCGTAGATCTGTTAAGCATCATAATATGCCGTACACATTCCTCTTTTGTCGATGCTTTTATCATTTCAACCTGATTCACCCCGCGTAAACCCGAGAAAAGAGGAAGACATTTTTAAAGTATACATTTCAATAAGCATATCTTGAAGAGCTCGGTGGTATACTTACCTCTACATATATCTTCAGATCCACTTTTGCAAACACACTTGTAAGATCCTTTATTGTTTTTGCACTCTGAAATATCGGTGTCACATAGGTGGTTTCCAGTCTCACACTCGTTTATGTCTGCAATCAAGAGTTAATGCTGAGTAATCAACTGACTTTGTTCGACTTTAATGTCCACTCTGTTTTACATGTTGCACACTTGGAAAGCTTTCCCTGGGGGAGTTTAGCCTTCGAAAAAGAAAATTTGGGCGGCTCGAGCACGCAAAGCCAGCGAGAACTCACACATGTGAGCCTGTTTGCAGGCTATTGGGATCTGGAGGCTGCAACTACAGTCGAACCTGTGTTAAGCGGTCACCCTCTATTAAGCGGTCAGTTTTCAAGGTCCCGAAAATTACTTCTCTTGATGAACTGTAATTTTGACCTCTATTAAGCGGTCGCGGTCACCATTTGCAAAGTCCCAACTAGACTTTTTCTATTGTCTTAACCTATATTAAACGGTCACACGGTGTTCAAACAGTTTCAAATAATATAACACACGAGGTACAACAATTGATTTCCTTGTTTATTTTCGCAAACCATTAAAACGCTGGAAATGAATGTTTCTATTTGAGGTCATGACCAACGTCTGTTCTGATCAGCACTGGAGATCTAATTCTTTGAACTATATTTCTTGCAACCTGTATTAGGCGGTCACTCTGTATTAAGCGGTCACTTAGCCATTCCCCGAGGGTGACCACTCAATACAGGTTCGACTGTAACACCAACATTTATCGTGGATACGACCTGTGGGGTGTTTCTTGGTGATGGGGCCATTCTTGGTAAGCCATAATTGTTATGTGGTGTGGATATTGTTCAGTGTTTTTTAATCTTTTGTATTACGTCATTTTGTGATTGCACCAGTCCACAACACACACCAAGAAACTACCGATCTATGATATACCACGACTAAATATGAAACCGGTTTCCAGCTTTCTGATTGGCTCTAATCTTTTTGGTATGGAATAGCATAAACCTAAAGATGAAATCCTGTTAGTTTAAGCTTCGTATGGTTTGCTAACTGCACAGTTAACACCATCCCCAGTATATCCTGGCTTACAAGTACAAGTGAAGGAACGCTTGGTGTTGGTGCAGGATGCATCATCGTGGCAGTTATGTAGTCCTGTTTTACACTCATCTACAAATCAGCAATTGGAAGTTAGGTAAGAATTTGACGTAAAGTAATCCACTGACAAAGTCAGTTTTCACTTTCAGCCGATCAAGAGTTGTTTAAATTGTTTATTTGCAACAGTTCAACTGAGTTCAAATTATTATAATCTATGAATGCTCTTCGTTCAATGTCACCAACCACTGCGTGATTCACTAAACAAGTTTGCTAAAGGACTTGGAACGTTAGTCTCAAAACTTCAATCAAGAAACTTTGCACCCCTTCCAGTCCTTGGAGGGACTGGAAGGAAAGTGTTGCTAAGAAAAAAAATTTGTCTGAGGGGATTTGATGTTTAGAATAGTTACTACGTGTTAGACAAGACAATACAAGACAATGCTTTATTTGGAGACTTACACAGTCCTATACATCGACTTAATCCAGATAATTTAAAATCATAACACACATTGCACACTAGTGGAACTATAATCAATGTTAACCTAAAGAACTAATGATCTTCTTTTCTCATAGCAGTCGAATACGTACTTTGCAATTAACTTTTGCACTGGTTTGTTCTTGCTCGGAGGGTTTATTAACAACAGAAAAACATCAACTGGTGCCATTCTGTTTACTGATATTCTGTATCTTTGTTTAAGTATTCAAATAAAGTACTTCTTTTTTCTTGATACGCAGGGCACAAAGTTAAAAAGCGTATTTCATCTTCTACGTCTTTTTTACAGATAGGACAGATCCTCTCTTCCGGTTTCTTATAAGGTCTTACATATACCGACCTGTCTCTATCGCCAATTTTGTGATTACTTAGACGGAGTTTAGTTAGAGTTATCCGGTGTCGGGTGTTGGTGACCTGACGGAGAAAATCTGCACATTTATAATTTTCTATTGTTTAGAATTTTCGGTAGGTTTTTAGTTTGTTCTTTTGGTTGGCGTCTTTTCTTACGTCATTGTTTACGTCACTTAACCATCTTTGTAATTCGATGTCTTTTAGTCTTTGTTTGATAATGTTCAAGATTCCTATGTCATTTTCATGTGCTTTTGTCCAGAGGTATCCCAGCCCTATTTGGTCTGATACGCGTTTGAGTTTTTGGCTCCATAATTCCTTGTTCATCCTCGACTTCATATCATTATAAACCACCTGTGATAATTTGTGTTTTGGGTGTTTGGTTAGAGTAAGCCAAAACTTAAAATTCCTATATTGTGCTTCGACTTTTATTGGGAATCTTCCTGTTTCAGCCCTACATGCATTGTTGCTGCAGTATTTATTTACACCTAGCAACCATTTCAAGAATATAATTCGAACTAGTTCTGCGGGATCTTTTTCTATTTGGTCGTTACAGTCAATACCCCAAATTTCACTTCCGTAGAGAAGTATGGGGGATATCAGAGCATCGAATAGCTTAATCGTCAGCATAATTATATTTCCTCTAAAGTTGTCACCCATCTCTTTTCTTAGTTTATAAAGTGCCTTAAGCCCAACTTTTTTTAACTCTTCTCTAGCTAAACTAAAATCTCCATACGGGTTCAGTGTCATTCCCAGATATTTATAAGATTTAACATTGTTTAGTTTATTTACTCCATACTTAAACGAGTAGTTATTTAAGGACATGTTGCCACAATTATTAAAGATCATGACTTTTGTTTTGTCTAGATTTACAGGTAGTTCAGTTTTCTCACAGTAGGATTCCAACTTGTTGAGGAGCGTTTGTAGGCCATTTGCTGACTGCGAAAAGATCACTAAGTCATCCGCATATAATAAACAGTTTATAGGTCTTTCAGAGTCATCAAGCAGAATATCGGTTGAGCTTGATGAATTTAAAAATTCGGGTAGATCACTTAGACATTAAAAAGGGTGGGTGATAACATACAGCCTTGTTTAACTCCAGTGTAACACGGAAAAGGTTTGGTCATTTTGTTGTTGATTTTGACTGCTGACTTATCTTTTGAGTACATGGACATTGCTATTTCTAAAAATCGCCCTTTAATTCCTTCTTTTCTGAGTTTTTCGAATAATTTTTGCCTGGGTATGCGATCAAAAGCTTTTCTAAAATCTACAAAACACTGGAAAAGCAAGTTTCTGCGTCTTTGTGGTTTTAATTAGATTTAACAAACTTATCTATGAGTGTTTTTAAGATGAAGATGCTATCTACTGTACCGTGCCTTTTTTTAAAGCCCGCCTTGTTCTGCTTTTAGAATTCCTTTTTTGGTCAAGTAATTATACAATCGATCATTGAGGATGGATGTGAAGAGTTTACCTTATGCAGAGAGCAACGTGACGCCTCGGTAGTTTTCAGCTTTTGATCGATCATCCTTTTTAATTTATGTATTATAGGGACGATGAGGCAAAAACTCTAGAGTGTAGGATATTTACCTGCACTTAAAATACGATTGAATAACTCTAGTAGATGACCTTTTATGATATCTCTCCCGGTTTTTAGCACTTCATTTAATATTTTATCACACCCTGGGGCTTTGTTTAATTTCAGTTTTTTGATTGCGAAATCAATTTCTTCTTCCGGTATTGCCTAGTCTAGGGGGCCTGCCTCTTCCTCAACCTGAACTCCAGTATCTTCTAGATCTGTCTGGTCGCCGTTCGTTGGAGCCGCGTTTTGTTGTTTGAAGTATTCATAAAACTGTTCCGCACTTACTGTTTCGTTTGCTTGTGGTTGTCGTTTTCTAATATTAAAGATTTTACATATCTGTTTCCAGGTATCTTGAGGATTACGGAGGTCAATATCGCCTATACTCTTACTGACAAACTTTCTTTTTTTCCGTCTGCATGTCCGTTTAAATTTCTTCTTTTTGTCTTGTAAAAGGTGCCTCAGCTGAAATTATTTGGCTCCTAAGAAATGGGTCAGAAACCCCTCCCTCACCCCCCCCCCCCCCCCACCCCCCCAATTTATTTGGGCACACTGTTCAATTTTTCTCAGTGATACCATCTCCATACGCATGCCGTGGGAGAACTGTTTTGCAGTTGCCAACCAACAGCTACCACTTGTTTACGGTGGAGCTGACGATTAAAGCAGTGCTTGCACTCGCCTCGGCAGTAAATGATCCTTGATACGCCAGCTATCCCCCGCTAATTGACCTAACGGCTATCCAGGCGGATGAGCCCCACTAAGGGCGAGCCAGCTGTCCATAGCTGCCACTGCTCGGGTGATATGGTTGTGCGCATGCATAAGGTACTGGCCATACCGCGGAGATGGTACGTGTGCTTCAGTGCAGTTAATTGGTATTGTTAAAAATTTAGCCCTCTCATATCACTTCTCCCCTATAACTGAAGCTGTTCTCCATGAAGTTAGTTCCTACTCAGTTTGTTAACAGAGTCCCTTAGAGAGTGGCCCGTTTCACATCGTTTAACAATTTAGAGGATAAATATCCTGGAACAAGATCATTTAAAGACTTGTGAACTATTAGGGCTTTTTGTATTTGAAACTGAGTGCTCAAGTCTTTCCAATTAAGTTGTTTAAATAAGCGGTTGGTATAAGCATCATATCTAGAAAACGTTAGAACACGAGCAGCACGGTTCTGAAGCTTCTGTAGCCTGCAAAAAAAGTTTTTCCACAATTACCCTAGACAAAGACTATAAACGAATTGAGATTGAATGAGGAGCGTTGTATATACAATGGAGAGTAGGCGTTGGAACAAAAGCTCTAAGGATCTGTCCCTTGAAATCCGGAGTACACCCCCATCCCCCCCCCGGGTATCCGCGCGGGATTTTTTCGTCCCACGAGCGACAACGCTTTCAATGAAGAGAGCGGGTGCAGAAATGCATAATTTACATTGTTCTTTGTATAACAAAAACGACTCCAACCCTCCTTAAGTTATTTTTACTTGTACTTAATTATTCATCCCATGGTTTTTTATCACTCACCTAAACAACTGATTTCAATCTCTCTCATGATCTCTTCCATTTCTTCTCTGTTTCTTTCCTGCTCTTTAATTTTCTCCTCTTCTTCTTTATTCATCGGAACGGGACAAACTGCGAAACAGCAAAACAATAAATGAACAGTAATTATCAATCCATAAGTAGGTGGAGCATGATCGTCAGGGTGCAGTCCTGAATAGGACTTTGTCGGGTAGTCATCTTCACATCTTCATAGTCAAAGTCGTTTGTTGTTACAGTCGTTTATTGTTAGTCAAATTGTCTCTTGCCTATAAGACACTTCTATCGTTGTCAGTTTTGCTCGAGTCTGCCATAAGTCGTTTGTGCCGTGCCTGTTGACTGCGATTCCAGTGGCTTTTGTTCTAATTTAGTAATCCAGCTTTCTAAGATGAGTACTAGTTATGGTAGTCTGTAGAATGCGTAATATGTGTCGCAGAGTCCCGGTCGATTTTATGTTTCGTCTGGAAATGGTATTCAGCAATAAGAAGTGTGATTGTTGACATCACCATTTCCTGTCGCTGGATCGTCGCTTTTAAAACTGTGACAAAAGACCGATCGAAACGACTCGAGTCTTTATAGCCAATAACAACATGGCTTAACTGACACAAGACCAATCACATCGAGACTTAATTAACCAATCAGGTCAATAACCAGAGTACAATACAGATATCAATATTGACGTCTTTGTACCCGTCGCCGTCGTTGTCGCTTTATAAGCTCCCTTTTATAAACCTTCGCCACGGTAGTATAGGAACAGGAATAATTATAATTTTAATGTATAGATTTAGCCAGGGCTAAAAGCGAAGCTCTGGTTAATAATACGTGTAAACAAAAAAAATTAAATCGTGAAATGCTAAACGGGGGACGACAATGAAAATGGCTTCAAGATTAATAGATCTAATTACCAAAAAAACAAATTGCACGTGCAGCACACTTTTTCTCCTAATTAGCAAAAAACAAATTTGCGCGTGCAGCACGCTTTTTTGTCTTTCCCTTGCGCTTGTTTTGCACGACTACAACGCTGTTTTGTACGACTAAAACGTCAAACTTCCTAGTTACACACTATTTTTATGGAGAAATTGTCGTATGTGCTTACCCAATCTTTTGTTTCCAGTGTTCATGTTCGCTTTTATTTTTCACTGCCGCTCATTTTCACCTTGCTGGCCGCTAGCATTTCTCATTTTCTCACCGCCGCTTTGAATTTCCATGTTTTTCTTCCTACGAATTTTAAATAACGCGCTCAAGCTCTTTCTCTGTTATCCACGTTATTGTACACATAAAAAATAACGGCGAAAAAGACACGTCTTTTTTCTTTCTAAAAGTCCGGGCGGCCATGTGATTTCCTTCCAAATAAAACCTTGAGTTGCATTTGGGTTCCCATACCTGTTGATTGAGTTATTTTACATTGGTATGCCTGTGGTGCGGACGGACGGTCGCTCGCTCGATCGCTCGCTCGGTGTACGGTCACGTGATTACCAAATTTTCTGGGATGGGTAGATTACCACATTTCCTTAGCTATGGGGCTCCGCCCACGCGCGCGCTTCGCGCCGCTATAACAATAGAAAAATGAAGATGATGATAACAATAACAATAATAATGATAATAATAATAGCACGATTTTCTAAGATACAAATTCATTTAAAATCTATTAAGAAAGTAAAACAGAGGATCAGTCTTGAACGAAGGCGTTTGGCTCGTTTTGAAGTCTTGATCGCTCATTTTTTATGTGTAAAAATCACTATTTCATTTTTTCTTACTTCAGAATGATTTTTTGACAGCTTTCTGTATATGAAACAACAGCAGGGTGCTTAAACATAATGCCTACAAACAGGTGCGCAATAAAATTTTGGTCCTGATATCATTAGTCATTACCTCCATGGTTTACAACTTCCTGTGCCATCATCACAGCTGGGAACATGATAAAGGAACTGATAACTATCAATGTTGTNTGGTGCGGACGGACGGTCGCTCGCTCGATCGCTCGCTCGGTGTACGGTCACGTGATTACCAAATTTTCTGGGATGGGTAGATTACCACATTTCCTTAGCTATGGGGCTCCGCCCACGCGCGCGCTTCGCGCCGCTATAACAATAGAAAAATGAAGATGATGATAACAATAACAATAATAATGATAATAATAATAGCACGATTTTCTAAGATACAAATTCATTTAAAATCTATTAAGAAAGTAAAACAGAGGATCAGTCTTGAACGAAGGCGTTTGGCTCGTTTTGAAGTCTTGATCGCTCATTTTTTATGTGTAAAAATCACTATTTCATTTTTTCTTACTTCAGAATGATTTTTTGACAGCTTTCTGTATATGAAACAACAGCAGGGTGCTTAAACATAATGCCTACAAACAGGTGCGCAATAAAATTTTGGTCCTGATATCATTAGTCATTACCTCCATGGTTTACAACTTCCTGTGCCATCATCACAGCTGGGAACATGATAAAGGAACTGATAACTATCAATGTTGTCATGTCAGCCATCGCCCAACCTTGTAAAAATAAAATAATATTGAATAATATTTATCGACATTTAAAAATGTCGATGAATTTCGTTGGTGAAGGAGAACCGATGCATAACCACGAGCCCGGTGGGATGAGGAGGCCCTGGAAATTGCGGTGGGGCTGTGCGCCGTAATATAATTCTTAAATCATAGCATAGCTATAATATAACAGGGATAACTATATGGTCCTATCAGTAAGTTATATAGGATAATAACCCGGGGACAACTTAGATAAAGAAGTACCCCCACAAAATTTATCCGATCGCAGACCATATTCTTGAGTTTATTGGATCGCGCCAAAGTCAATGTCAAAAGCCCTGCATTCAAGCTAACTAAGAAAAACCGCGATTCAACAACAACCAAAAAACGAAATATAAGACAGTTTTTTTATCTCCCCGATATCGATGTATTTTTAGAGAAAGATCCAAGCAGCTGCAGGCTCAAATACGTTTGATGTTACTACAATTTTCAGAGCTATTTCCAGTCAATAACCCCCTTTAATTCACTTAACATTAAATGTATATCGTACCATAGATGCGGAAGCCGTGAAATAGAGAAATCAAAATTGGTCATCTATAGGCTAACTATAAGTACTAACCCTACTGATCCACCAGGCATGCAGTGTAGCTGAGTGTATGAGGTCAGACTGAACCCGAGTTTCTCGTTACGCAGATTAATTGATAGCGGAGCTCTGGTGCGCCTGCGGAGCACCATGGGTAAGTAAATCTACCCATCCCAGAAAATTTGGTAATCACGTGACCGTACACCGCCCGCCCGCGCGCCCGTCCGTCCGCACTACAGGGTACCCAGTGTTTAATCCTCACACTTTCTTGCCAGTTTGGAAGCACAGGAAGACTGATATTGCACACATATATTGTAGATCAATGTTGTGATCAATTGACAGGTGTTAAAATAGGGTATCCGCTGACCAGTATCACCTGACCTTATCGCAGGCTCAGGTGTCGACCCATCGAGGTCGAATATCTTTTTGAAGTTATCCGCTGACAAGTTACTAGTTTTCAAATGATCGCATGCTCAAGTTTATTTTTTTTTAATTCATATGAAATATGTTGTGTTTTGTATGTGCCGCACAATTAAAATGTTGATTTCAAACTGACCTCGGAAGTTCTGTTACCAATTAATCATAACTTTAACAAAATTTGTGATATAATAGGCTATTTTTTACATCAAAACACAAGAAATTCGGTATTTTGTTTTGCTAGCATTGAAAAAAAAAGCCATTTAAGCGCGCGCTTGATGGCGCGTACTGTCCAATTACTTAGGCATGACGCGTACTGTCCTATTAAACTGTCCAATTAAGGCTGAAATCAGGGCAGTTGATAGCCAATCAGATTATTATTGTTAGTCAAATTGTCTCTTGCCTATAAGACACTTCTATCGTTGTCAGTTTTGCTCGAGTCTGCCATAAGTCGTTTGTGCCGTGCCTGTTGACTGCGATTCCAGTGGCTTTTGTTCTAATTTAGTAATCCAGCTTTCTAAGATGAGTACTAGTTATGGTAGTCTGTAGAATGCGTAATATGTGTCGCAGAGTCCCGGTCGATTTTATGTTTCGTCTGGAAATGGTATTCAGCAATAAGAAGTGTGATTGTTGACATCACCATTTCCTGTCGCTGGATCGTCGCTTTTAAAACTGTGACAAAAGACCGATCGAAACGACTCGAGTCTTTATAGCCAATAACAACATGGCTTAACTGACACAAGACCAATCACATCGAGACTTAATTAACCAATCAGGTCAATAACCAGAGTACAATACAGATATCAATATTGACGTCTTTGTACCCGTCGCCGTCGTTGTCGCTTTATAAGCTCCCTTTTATAAACCTTCGCCACGGTAGTATAGGAACAGGAATAATTATAATTTTAATGTATAGATTTAGCCAGGGCTAAAAGCGAAGCTCTGGTTAATAATACGTGTAAACAAAAAAAATTAAATCGTGAAATGCTAAACGGGGGACGACAATGAAAATGGCTTCAAGATTAATAGATCTAATTACCAAAAAAACAAATTGCACGTGCAGCACACTTTTTCTCCTAATTAGCAAAAAACAAATTTGCGCGTGCAGCACGCTTTTTTGTCTTTCCCTTGCGCTTGTTTTGCACGACTACAACGCTGTTTTGTACGACTAAAACGTCAAACTTCCTAGTTACACACTATTTTTATGGAGAAATTGTCGTATGTGCTTACCCAATCTTTTGTTTCCAGTGTTCATGTTCGCTTTTATTTTTCACTGCCGCTCATTTTCACCTTGCTGGCCGCTAGCATTTCTCATTTTCTCACCGCCGCTTTGAATTTCCATGTTTTTCTTCCTACGAATTTTAAATAACGCGCTCAAGCTCTTTCTCTGTTATCCACGTTATTGTACACATAAAAAATAACGGCGAAAAAGACACGTCTTTTTTCTTTCTAAAAGTCCGGGCGGCCATGTGATTTCCTTCCAAATAAAACCTTGAGTTGCATTTGGGTTCCCATACCTGTTGATTGAGTTATTTTACATTGGTATGCCTGTGGTGCGGACGGACGGTC